AGCATCCAGCCCAAAATACAAAAATGCCTGATGATCAGATGTAAATTCCATAGTTGCATATTTCAAAAAATGTATGTCAGTGGAGGCAATTAATTTTATATCTAGTGAAAAGATACAGGGAAGATAAACCACAATTTAAGGCTAGAGTTTTACCACCTGATGCAACCTATGTTAAAACTCTTCAAATAAAATAGAATAATTATAGAATTATAGAATGGTTTGGGTTGGAAGGGACCTTCAAGACCATCCAGTTCCAACCCCCCTACCATGGGCAGGGACACCTTCCCCCAGCCCAGGTTGCTCAAAGCCCCGTCCAACCTGGCCTGGAACCCTTCCAGGGAGGGGGCAGCCACAGCTGCTCTGGGCACCCTGGGCCAGCACCTCACCACCCTCACAGGAAAGAATTTCTTCCTTATATCTGATCTAAATCTAGCCTCTTTCAGTCTAAAACCGTTACCCCTTGTCTTACCCCTACATTTCCTGATAAAGAGTCCCTCCCCATTTTTCCTGTAACCCTCTTTAAGTAGTGGAAGGAATTGTCTTAAAGTTGAAAGGTTCCCGTGATTTAAAATAGTAACAAATATGGAAAGGTGAAAAAACTTAAGCATTTTTAAAAATGTATAACAGAGTAGGATTTAGCTTCAAAGATTCCTTTATTGGTTCTTCAAAAACATTTTAAATTATAGCATGTACACTAGATAGCTAGATTTCCTTGCTCACTTTACAAAGTATGTCAATTTATAGGCTGCAAGTAATTAGACTGTTTAAAATTTCTACTATCAGAATTAGTGCACAATACACTCTCAGTGCAATATAGGTAACTGTTCTGCAGTGGGACAGAGTAATTCTACTTTCCAGCTTTGATAAATAAATACTTTGATACAGTCCTTCTCACAATATGTAAACATTACATAGGGACTCCTTGTGAAAAGGCAGTTCAGTTAAGGGACATTGGATATTTTTAAAATTCTGCCTCTTAGTGTGGGAATAACATATGATATTTCAGGAGGAAATTTCCAAGGTAGTTTGAAAGGAAAAAAAAAAAAAAAAGTTATCTGGCCTTCATGATAATACAAAGCCAAGTATGCATTAATGGAAGCAATAGGTTTTTTTAGTGTAGGAATTCCTTTTACACAAGTTACAATCTGCTTATTTGAAATAAAATGAAAATGAATTCAAAGAGGGATACAAGCTGACTTTGTTCGAGCTTCCCTGATTCTCATTTTTTTTCTTAATGATACCAAAAGTAAATACACGTAGTTTTAGCAAACAGTGATTAGCATGTGATTAGCTCTTGATTCTGCAGATGTTTACTGTAGAATTGCTATGACCTAAACAAAAAAGTGATCAATTTTCTGGAGCTAACAAAACTGGATAGTGATGTAGTAGTACAATTGTATTACAGACTTCCTGAAATCTACTGTAATGAATTAATTCTCTGTAACATTTCACACATACTCATGTACAAACAGCATTAAACATAGAACAGAAAAACACAGAATATAGGGGACAGGTTTATTCTGTTACTTTGAAAGCATTCCCCTCCCCCATAATGCTACAGCCAACAACCTGATTTTAAGAGTCTGAATTGCTCTTTAGTATCAGGGTGGCTTTTTGAAACAGACTTGTGATTAATTATCAATTAAGCCTGTATATTGTACTCCTCAACCATATCCCATTCTGGGACCTTCAATTCCACATATGTAGAACAACTTTTCTAGACAGTCTTAACTTGTAGACAAAGAATAGAATAGTATTTTTTTTCCAAGTCCTGAAACCACTATGATTTGTATTAAAAGGATTATTTAATCTTAATTCTGGTATCATGCTGGACACCTCAGGAAAGGTTCACTATGAACAGAAAAACAGCCTTACCATTTCTGTGGACATCTTGATAAAAGAGCAGGCTATAGAGTCAATTTGCAAGTATATCAATTAAACATAAGTTTTATTTACAGCTACAGATAGCAGCATTGGATCACCTGCTATCAGCTCTTGATAGAACTGTTTTTCACACTTCTCTATCAAACACTGATGTTTAATTTATAAATTATTAAAATAAAAATAAATCCAAATGGACTGTGAAACTGATTGTTTCAGAAAAAAAATGGTTTTAGAGTCCTTCTAAGATGATCTACTGTATGACAAAGTTAAATTTTTGGAGAGATGATTGAAACTATATTGCCACCTGCTGTCTCAAACAAAAGTCAGGAGACAGGTCTGGTTGAGTATATAATTTAAAATTCTGCAAGTAGAATAGAAATCTATCAATTTGGGAAATCCATTGTGAAGCAGGGGACGAAATCTAAATTTTGAAATTGTGAAAAATGATTTAGTGCCCACTCTCCCCTTTTTTTGCTCAGCCATGATTGGATCAGAAAAAATGTGGTAAGTAAATAAGAAGGAAATTACCAGTGAAAATAGTGTAGCTAGTCATGCCCTGCTCATCGTAAAAGAACATTCTCTTGCAGCTCTTATCACTTTCTTAGCAGATACATAGTCGGGATGAAATCAGGCATAGAAGACTCATGAAAGTGAAGAGCCACTTATTACAGACACAATGTTTTAATAGATTACCGATACTGGAAGCTGACTAGGAAGAAGAAAATGCTTCAGTCTTCTGTACATCCTTAGCAAAGAGGTGACTGTCTACAGAAAACTAAGATTTAGTTTCTCTGTGGTAATGCTACATTTCAGTGAATTAACTTCTGGGAGAAGCAAGACGGTGAAAGAAACAAAGGTTAAGGTTTCTTTAACACCTCACCTTACTTTGAGTGTTTTGAGGGAACTAACCAGAACATAAGTTAATAGGTATATAAAGACTATTAAATTAATTAGAAGGGATTATGAATACCAATAGAGATGCTACCCAAAAAAAAAAAAAGATTAAAATATGTACACTGACAGGTTAGAAATATTAATACTAACACAAGTATCTCAGGAAAAAAAAAAAAACAACAAACAACAAAACACTAGTACTCCATTAAATATTTTTTTTTAAATATTGAATTAATTAAAAGGGTACAGCTTAAAGCAGTATTTCTGGGACTGGGTTAATAATAAAAGAAAATAATTGCTGTATGGAACACTACAAAAATTCCTATTCTTGGACAGTAGATAATGAAACAGATGGTACCCATTTTAAATGATTTCATCCAAACTAAACAGACAATGCCTTTCCTGATGTACAAGAAAACAATTTCAAAATTGTGGGAAAGCATTGTTCAACAGACTTTGATAATCATGTATTCTTTCATTTTGTCCCACTTCTATAAAATTTTCAGTTCTAGACTTAATGATGATCCTACAACATATCAGCTAGCCAAATTAATGTTCAGAGCTTATTCTTGATGATGCCCCAGGGAGATTCTGATCAGACACTGATATAAACCAGCCAAACACGGCAGCAGTTATCAACAACATATCTTGTATGTTCTGTGCTTCACTGGACCCCATATGTAGTGCATTACTGAGAAAAACTTCTGGTGTTCTTTTCTTTTCCTCCTTTGTTTTAGTCCCTAAATGAAAGTTTCAAAGACTCATTAGCTGATGTAACAATCAATAAATACCACATAAACAGCTGAGAAGCAATATTTAGAAAAAAAAACATAATTTTGTCTGATGACCGACATATTAATTTTATATAAAGACAAAGAAGGCAATTCAGATAATATGGCAGAGAGCTCTGCCTCATTGTCCGTTCCTCTATTACTGCTTATTTGTTTCCTTTGCAGTCTCAAAAGGGCAAAACTTCTATTATTGTCAGCTGGAGTAAGCACTACAGGATCCGCCCCATATATATGGTATCTTTGGCCTGACAAAATTAACTACATGTAGAAGCAACACTATTCAAGACAAGTCTTTGGGTCTCAACATCCTTTGAAGTGTTGGGTTTCAGTAAGCATTTGGCTTTAAGTGTAAAGGTTAAATACCATCTTGAATAGTAAAAGATCCTAACTGGCTCTGAAGCATTCTGTTGAATCTGACTATAACGCATCCAAATCCTCCTTACATAAGTCGAAGATGTTTTGCCTGAGAGAAAATGTAGATTAATTAAATTTGCACGTTTACATCTTTTGTTATGCAAGACGCTATACCTACAAAACAACAGACTGGACGGTGCTTCACACTCAGCTCCTAAAAAGCTTCTCAAGAACATCACAAAAGGACCACAAATACCCACCACCACCTCGAGCACGGTTTGGGAAACCCACCAAATAGTGACGATCGCAAAGGGCTGGATCACGAAGTTTTCAACAGGACTGTCCTGCCGAAGCCACTCAAGCAGCCCAAGGACTCTCCTGAGTAGCACTACCCGTCGAAGACTGCCGAAGGTAAGGCTGAAAAACGCCCTCCGAGGATACGCCCCGCGCATCGGGGTGCGGAGCGGTTCGCTGCCGGGGACCCCCCAGCCCCTCTCCCGCCGGGACACGGGGCTCTTTCCCTCCTCAGCCACTCTCCGCTTTCCACCGCTCCTCTCCGGGGGGACTCCCGGGCTGCCGCTGCCCCCACAGCCCCGGGGCGGGCGGGCGAAGCCCCTCACCGGCTGCCGCCGACAGCCATTTCTGCCCTCATCTGCAGCCGCACGCCCCTCTTCCCTACCTGGTCTGACTTCGTCAAAACCACACCAGGAAAACCAAAACAAAACCAGCAGGCGAGCGAGAAGTAGCCACCCTCCCAGGGAAAGCGGTCGCTAGGGCGGGAGCAGCCTCCGGCTCGGACAGCGCAGAGCCCCCTCCCTTCCTCCACCCTGCGTAGCGCTCCCACCTTCTCTCCCTCCCCTCTCGTCCCCTCCGCAGCCGCCTGCACGCCGCGGATAATCCCCCCTGGAATGGCTCTGCACCCCCAGAGGGATTTGTGCAACCTCTCCTGGCCGCGGGACTCCATCCCCCACAACGCCTCGCGGCGGCGGGCCCCGCTGTGTGCGAGGAGCCCATTGGCACGGCCGCCGCTCCGCGGGAAGCCTATCGCCTCCCGCCTCCTTGTGGGGGGCCGGCAGCCGCTGTGCGCGGAGAGGCGGCGGGCGCCGCGTCTCCTCCGCGCCGCTGGCGGAGCCATGAATCTGGGGTAAGGAGGGAGGGGAGGAACGGGCTCGCGGGGCTGGCAGCGGGAGCCGCTCCCAGCGGCGGGGCCGCGGATCTGTCCGGGGAGGGACGGCCCCGGCCCCTCACGGCCCGGGAACCCGCCCGGCCTTGCCGCGGCGGTGAGGCGCTGGCGGCGGGAGCGAGCTGCGTGACAAAGCCGAGGGGTTAAGAGACCCGTCTCTCGGGAGGGCCTCGGGAAGGGGTCTGGGAAGCGGTTTAGGGGGGGCGGGGGGCAGCGGCGCCCCCGGGCCCCGCGCCGCCCCAAAGCGTCTGCGCAGAAGAAGAGGCGCTGGGCCCGGCTCAGCTGCCGAATGGCCCTGTGCTGTTTGAACGTCTAGAGTTACAGCTTCAGACGCTTCTGTGCTAACAGGGAAGTTGCGTGTGAGCTTGAGTTTTATTAGATTTTTTTACATTTTTATTCCTTTTTTTCTTTGATGAAAGCTTGAAGATAAGCGTTGGTTTGAACATTAATCTTCGTATTAGGTTTTCTCAAATTAGTGCACGGAAGAAAGAAAAGCGTTTGGGTACTTTACACTCATACACCTAAACACTGCCAACTTGTTTTTTTTAAACCCCTTATAATAACATTTGTTTCACTTTAAAAGGTAGACGATTTTGCATGGAAACACAAAAACTGTTTTTAGAATACAGCCTCTCTTTGTGATCAGCATTGGCGTTCAGGGAGACTTCTTTAGCATTTTTTGTAGCACACAGTTTATACTGTTGGATTATTAAAACTCTTGAGGCATGCATACTGCTGTGTATAGCAACAGAGTGGCACCTTCAGCATGAAGATTTACTTTGTAACATGCAAATCCAAATGTTCCAGTATCAATAATAAAAATAGCCCCTCTTCAAAGCCTCTTGATTTCTTCATATTAAGTAACTTCCCACAAACGTAAAAAATTGGGGTATGAAAGACTATCTGGACCAACAGTAAATACAGTGTTATAATTAAGTACAATTGTCCTTAGTAATGTAAAAATCTTACATTATTAGATTACTTAATATTTCAGATACCCCTCCCTCTCTCTCTCTCTCTCCCATTTTGCAGTGATGGACTGAAACTTGAAACTGAAGTGCTGGATGGAAAGCCTAGGCTAATTTTAGCTGCTTCTGGTATTTTTTACATCATTTATCTCAAGTAATTTTTAAAGCTTCTTGAAGTTAAACCTAAGATCCAAGCAACATGAAGCACAGCTTTACTGAAATATTTTTCATATTAAGAAGAATATTTGCGTGTTGTTTACAAGTCCTCTTACCAGCTTGATAATGAACTTTGGAATAGTCTGTCTACCGGTGAACAGCTGGCAAAGGGTCTCGACTATTTACAGCTGGTCTCCATTTTAAGTACTATTGTATATTGACTGGCATAACTTGATAATTTCTGTAACTTTATAGCATCTTACTTACCAAGGAAAAAGAGGCCTAGTAAGACTGCTTAATTTACACAGAATTACATCATTACAGTCACATTTCTGACTTTAAAGCAGCTTTAGTATTTGGCAGTTGACATAATTTTCAATAAGCAGTTTATTTAGGCCAGATCTCACTACTACCATCTGAGATAGACTTTTCCATAATTAAGCATTCATAATTCTTCATAATTAAGCATTAAGTTTCTGGTTTTGTGATTTGTCAGACATATGTTTCTGTACAAGCACAAGTCCACTTTCCCTAACTGTTCTACATAGCAGTCAGGATACAGGAATTCACTGTTTAATGCCCTCTAAATAAATTTTCTGCATTTACTGAGCAGCTGTCTAATGAGGCATTACAGGGTATTTTGAGTCAGTAAGGAATACCAGTCTACTAGAAAAAAAACCTTGCAACAACTCTGAAACAGCAATGCTACAGCTTTTACTTTTTACAATCATAGTTAGCATCACTAATGATAGGGCCAATGTAGATTCCATAGTGCTCTAAGATAAAGCATGACCTTTGACATTGAACTAGCCTTGAACAAGCACTCTTGTCCAGGAATTAACACGTTTGTACAACTGATAAAAACAGCACTTCCTTGAATTGAATTGTGTACAAAATTGTATCAAAATGTATTACTTGCAGATTTCAGTTTTTCTGCACTGTCAAATATGGCTCACAGTCTTAGGGGCTAAAGTAGGATTCTGCAGTAGTTTAAAATGATACTCAGGATAGTTGTTTCTCCCTTACACAGAAGAGAAAAAAAAAAAAAAAAACAAACAAATAAAATAACCCATAAGCAGCACTTTGGAGTTCCACATTATGTATCCCCCCAGTGTGATGGCAACGACCATATTTATATCTCTCCTTTCCACAGAGAAGTTGGGTTTGCATAGCATGTAGGATCCCACTTTGTTTAATTTCTGAATAGCCAGAAAGAAGTCAAAAAGTGACACTTTCACCTACTCAGATGAGGGTTGATTGAGAACCCAGTGATAAACGCAGCCACAAAACACCTTTACTACTGAAACATAAAGATGGTGCAGGATTTAATGCCTGTCTCTGCAGGACAACAATACAGCATGCTCCCAAGTTTTAAAATGTTCGTCTAAATTGGAAACTATTAATAGTGTGGTTTTACAGGCTTTTAAGAACAGTTAGTGTTCTCTATTATCTTTAATTGGTAATGTAAAAAGAAGGTATATGTGCTACCAGTGCAGAATGTGCAACAACCACTGTCAGAGCAATAATTGCATAGTGCAGCTGAAGAAGCCTTGATTTCAACAGATGTGTTCCACTAAAATATCATCCCTACTCTTTTCTCCCTCTTTTCCATTAGCCATGTGAGCAGGATTTCTTGTGTTGAATACCACACTCCCCCTATTAATCAAAATTGTAATATTCTTTATTAATAAGTATTATATTAAACATAACAGGAATATATCTAACTTTTTGCAATGTACTTTTGAAGTGTGTATACTGAAATAATAAAAGAATATATAATTAGGGCAGATGTTATGGGGAAAGTACTTTCCCCCTGCCTTACAAAAATCAGATTAATGTCACACTTTACTAATTTTTCAAGATTGTTTTTCAGGAGGAAGTTGTTATTAAATACTTCTCTCATATGTTTGTGTTTGTTTCCCCAAAGATAAATCAAAGCCTGCAATTAAGGTAAGTGGAAAAAGGACTTTTTTGGTTAGAGCACACAAATTGACTAGTTAATTTGTTAACACAGAAATTTGAGAACACATTTGAACTGTCTAAATACTTGTAATCAATTATATTTATGAAAGATAAATATGTACTTATGGGTCCCTTCCAACTTGAGATATTCTGTGATTTCTCAGGTTCACAGTAGCTATTATAAAGGATGAATTAGAAGTTCCATGACACTTTCTACCCTTGCAAAATGCTTTAATTTACTTTGCTAAGAAGTTACAGCAGCACAGGAAATCATCTAAATCAAAACTTTCAGAGAACTTAAAGGGATTATGGTAAAATAGGGACCTGAAGTGTGTTTAAGTTCCAGTTTAGTTGTATAGGTTGTCTCTGAGTAAATTGGAATGCCGTGGGTTGGGGTAGGAAAGAAAGCAGAAAAAGGTCTTAATACACAGGAGATAATTAAAAGTGTGCATCAAGGACCCTGAAAAGGGTAAAACTTTAGTGCAGAATGGAAACATTAAGACTGAAATAATACTGGCTCTATGGTGAAAACATACACCTGTTTGAAGCCAGGCTTCAGAAACACCAAAGAAAAGCAGAATTAATGTTTATTAATTCTTTTAAATGTTATGTCACTGTTCTTTGTACTGTCATTTTTAAATATTCAAATTTAGGTGCTGTATTCTCTTCCAAGGTATTCCTTGTACTCATGAAGATACTTCATTAGTTTATACCGAGTAAAATGACACTTGTTGCTTCAATCATGTTTTCATTTGTTACTGTGCAGTTTTATTTCCTTATTTAATAAATGGTGAAAACTTATTGCTTTAACAGATGGGTAATAAAGCCAGAGCACCGAAACAGGCATTGAGAATAAGGCATACTGAACATGTTCTGAGGTTGACACAAAATGCTTGTATGAAGCAGGAAAACTTAACAAAACCAAGGAGTGAATCAAGCTTATCAGTGATGAAAGGTGAAAAACTGCAAGTTACTAAATACTCCTCACATGAAACCGCAACTAAAGATCACTCCCTGATTTTCCAGAGAGAGAGCACAAACAGATACCCTGATTCAGAGAATACTAACATTGATAAAAAAAGTAAACAGAAACCTCAAACCCCATGTGTATCAGCTGAAGACCTAAGAAGTTTGGTGTGTTTAACACAAGCACAGCTTCAACAGATTTTGATGACTATAAGAGAAGGAAACAGAAGCCTCTCCGAGACTCATAATGAAAAACAAGAGAAAATGGGTAAGGTACCTATAGTTGAGTAAGTTAATTTCATGAAAACAGAGCGAAGTGTGAAAGCTTAACTTTGAGTTCATAATTTAAGCTTATTTGCAGGCTGCAGAGATGTTGCTCATGTCTAATGGTCTTAGACAAAATACTGTTTGCTATTATAGATCTGAAATTGCCTGTTACTGTTTGAAACTAAGAATTTGATAATTTTAACAGTAAAAACTGAGGATTGCTTCATGGTATTCCAGTAGTTTGAAGAGCAAAATGGCAAGCAATTCTGTCAATATTTAATGCAAAAAAGGAACCATTTTACATTGGGGAAAACCATAGTAGAACTGCACTGTACCATTACCATTAGGAGCTTGGAAAAAATAACAAAACAAAAAAAAAAAAAAACAAAAAACCCAATACATCAAAGAGATAGGCCCTTTTGGTTTTGTGAAGAGTTCAGGGCTTGCCATATGTCTCAAGATTAGGAGTGCCATTTTCTTCTGGCCTGAAGGTGTCCATGTATCTTTTTGCCTAACTGTAATATTACTGTTGAAGGGTAATTTTTTTTTTCTTCCAATTCCTCTACTCAGAAGCGTAAGAACTATTGTGTATCTTCTTGTATTACATCCTTACTTCTGTTTGTGGACCTGTGGAGGTGGTCAACTTTTGCCACCAAGAGTAAGACACATTGCAATTAAGCAGAGTCTCAAAGTCTGAGCTCTTAGCTAAGAACAAGTGTTTACCTTAAGTCTATCATTCTAAAAATACTCTGTGAAGTTGTAATTTATGTGCCTTAACTGTACAAGCAGGGCTGAAGACAGCTATGTTAAATAGCGGGGAATTTGCAAGTTTCTACTGTTCTCAAAGTGTTTTCTCAATGTTGAAGAAAGTTTAGTGGTCATATATATGTTCGTATATCTTTTTATATATTTATATTCTACCACAGCTACTAATGAGGCACCAGAGGAAAACATTATAGCATTGCTTCAAAAAACGTGTGAAATGTCATCTGTTGGCGGTGAAGCTAACTCTGATTCAAGCAGGAAACAAGAAGCATATCCACAGCCAGAACAGAAAGTTACGTATGTAGATCTGTGTTACTGTCTACAAAAATTGTATTTCCAATGAAGATTCATATTGTAGTTCTTAATCACAGTAAAAATCTTTATAAATACTAATTATAAAGTTACCTTTAAAATTAACAGATTAGCTTTTTAGGTAAAATTATTTTTTCCCCTCCTTTTCTCTAGAAAGGATTTGTGGAAACCTGGTGACATGTTTAGTACCCTGGGTGAAAGAGAAGGGGAGAAGGCCTTATTAGAATTACGAAAGACCCAATGGAAGAAGGAATTAGGTACTTATGAGATATAGAATATATTTTTGATCAATTTATTACACACAGGATGACAAGAAAATTTGTGCTTCTTGTGCTCTTTTAAATTTACTTAGATCAGTGCAGTTGCTACAAAATGGAAAGTACATAGTTTTATAAATCTGCAAGACAGATGACAGATTAATATTCTTGAATTTCAAAATTTTATGCAAAGATTATCTGTAAGTTCTTGCAAAAATTCTTCTTAACCAAATAAATATAATCACATATATTCTGTTATTCTTATTTTAGGCGTTACTTGCCATGGATTTTGTCACATTATGCCACTAGTGATAGCCATTATCATTAACAATTTAATTTGTATTTTAATGGGAAAAGTGTCACCCTAATCTACAAGCATGACTGAATGTATCAAATTGCAGTTTGAACTTGAAACGGTTTGCACTCCTGCCGCATCACCAACCAAGGGGAATCTCTGTAGAAAAATAAGAATGTTTAATGCAGTAGTAAATTCTCTGGCAAATTAAGCCTTTTATGATTCACATGCAGGAGTGTTGTGTTTTGTTTTCAACTTGGGTGTAGACCATCTGGTTTTAGGGTTTGGTTCTGCCTTGTCACTATTTTCCATGTATAGCTCCATTGATTTTAATGATATTACAGTTGTCCAAGACTGTTATAATAAAATTGAGAGAGTTTATATACTTCATTATTTGTTAATTTCCCTCTTTCCCTGGGCCACTGTTAAGCCTTCAGTGTTTTGTAGTCTTATCTGAGAGATTCCCCAATTACCTTTGCATCTCTGGGCAAACACTCAGCTGCTATCCTCTTAAGAGTAGAGTCATGTTTAGACTGATTTGTCAGAAAACGGTGATTTTCTCCTGTAGTCCATTTTACAGTCATAATTACAGGGTAGACATACATTGCTTTTAAAAAACAAACAAACAAACAAACTGCTACACATCTGTATTAGGAACTCTTACTAGAGTTTATTTTTTTTTGAAGATGAACAGGTAGCACTGAAGAAGAAACTGAAAGAAACTTTGGAGGGAGAGGTGGGTTATTTCTGGGCAAAACCTGGCAATCATAAAACCCATAAAGAGAAAGTGGAAACAGCTGACCCAGATAAGGTAAGGCTATCAGTTAAACACAGAAGAGCACATAGTTTCCACAGCACTGTTCCAGAACAGTTCAACTTTTAATTCATACAAGATTTTCTTTTCTGTACGAGTCCAATCTCAGTGGTTACTTTAAACTCTTTCATGGCATAAATTGCTGAACTCCCTGTTTCACGCTTACCTATTGCTCCAATTGTATTTTCACAACTCCTATGCTGATTCCTAACTAAAAGGTATAAATCTTTTCTAGTTCTGTTTTGAAGAATAATCTTAAATTTAATTCCTGGTTATATAATTATTTATATTGTTCATAAACTCACATATATTTGGTGGCTTACATATTAATGAGCATAGCAATTTGACTTTTAGTCTAAACTGCCTTTTAAAAAGTTAGCTGTCACTCTGAAAATGCTGTGCACATAAATAATATTATACTCAGATGAGACTTTTCCAATTGATTGCTGTTGAACCAAAGTTAGGGTTGTACCTGCTATCATTTATTAGAGCAAAAGCAAATTGCTTTTTTTGGTAGCATATTCAGCATTTCTAGAAAAGTTGCTGCTCTGCCCCATAAGAATTTGTTTCAATCTACATAATTAAGAAATACTGGGTATGAGATGCTTCGTTACAAGTTGTGGCTGAAGTTCTAATGACTAACCACTTCCAGAAGTATAATTTACTTGTTTATTATGGGCTATTTAATACAAACACAACAGGTAAGCTAAATGTATCAAGTCATAAAGTGGTCACTTTATTTTCAGACAATGTTTCCAGCTGACTCTATTACCACTGAGGAAAACTGTGTCTGTACAACTCCTTCAACCACAGCAGCTAATAAAGTTCCACTGAATGGTTCAAGTGCTCCAGCTGGGCAGTCTTCTGATTTTTGTTCTGATTTAGCAGCTGACAGTTGTGCAGCATCTGTTTTCAGGGTAAGATTTTCAAATTGCATGGAGTTGGTTTTTTACTGATTTATTGACAACAGATGTATATCTTCAGTAGTTCTCCTAAGCCAGAATAATTCAGGAGACCTTTTTGCTCCAGTTAAAGATTTGTATTAATTTTTTTTAATGTTAATCAAAATATTGATGCCTTGAAGACTGAGAATTTTCAGGACTGATGTGAAGAACAGTTCTAGAGGTGTGAGATGAAGTGTTAATTAGCTTTTAAGTATGCATTAAAGAAATTGAGAAGTGGGAACTTATCAGAAATGAAAGACTTTAAAAAACATACATTGATGGCAGAAGTAGTTTTTGAGTTACTGATAGTAGGCAGTGATGGAAGAGTGTTTTCTGTCAGTATTGAAAGTTCTCATTGTCACTGGAGTTTGTTTAATGATAAAGATATCCATTAAGGAGCAGAAACACTAGAATGAACATGGTATCTAGAATTCACTTGAGATAGATCACTACTAATTAGATCCTGGTGCTAAATCTACTTGGAACACAGACTGAGCAGTGAACCACAGGAAGAAGGAAGGGATTTTTATTCATGATACCTGTAAGTACAGTTTTCTGGTGTGAGAATCTGATGGCTTAAGTTAGAATAACATTCAAAGACTGTCTTATTTGGCATCTTTCTAACAACTGAAGCATTTTTATGGAGCAGTTAGACACTTGCTATGGTTACAAACTTACATTCATATTTTTTGTGCAGGAGAACAGCCCAGTTATGCCAAGCAACTGAAGGCAGAGCTTTTTGCCAAGTCTTTATTATGTGGCTAGACAAGGTGCTGAATTTTTTGTACAAGGAAGAGACTAGCACTTCTATTTCAGGAAGCTGTGCCACAGGAACAACCTTTTAGTGCTTTGAAGCATGAGCAACAGAATAAGTGGCTTGAGGAGTTGGACAAACAGAATGAAGAAGCTAAGATACAAAAAATAGAAGAAAAACTTAATTTATCAGAGGTATCTGTGCTTTAGAGGGTCTTTTTGAAAAGAGATAAATTTTTATCTACATTTTTTTTCTAAGAAATAAAAGATGAAATTGTAGGCCTGATGAAGTAGCGACAAAGATGTAATTACCTGCAGCATGCCCAGGTTTTCACCTTAAGTCCATAAGATGGTCTAATTGTACATTCAGCCAGTAGCTGTTCCAGTATTTTGATGGCAGAGAACAGAGTACCATGTGTCTGGTCTGATGTGTTAGAGTGCTTGCTGCAGAGATGAAGACAGTGATATTACTATATTTTTTTTTTCCTCTTTCCCACCATTGTGCAAAAGCATTAGGGTTTGGAAGGTGTTGTAGAAACACTGGCTAGAGACTTTGTAAAAAGATTTTTTCTGTAGACTACAGGAGGAGATGAGAAAAAAGAAGGAAAGTAACAGATAACTACAGTGTGTCACAGGGGTGTTCAAATCCTGTTTCTAGACATACTATTTTAATACACATACAATCTTATGAAACTTTTTTAAACACTTCTCCAAAAATATTGAAAAAAATAGCCTTACCTTTTCTAGTCTTCGGTTTTTCCACGCTGTTGAATGTAGGTCTCTTATGCTGGACTAGAAGGAAATCATGGCCAATATAATTGCTGTGCAGGTGGAATACCTGAAGAGACTTCTAATACTGTCCCTGTTGGCCAGTTTGGTCAATATATCCTTTACCTCTGGAGGTACTTTATGTAGAAGCTTTACATGTTAATATTTCTACCATTAGTAGCTTTAAGGTTATTGGAATACTCTGCATTCTTATACAGCCCAATACTGATACTCTTCCAAAGACTCTTTGTCTTTTGGATTGAAGAAATACACAGGGAGATTATACTATTGCTAGAATCCACATTTCCAAATTACTGTCCACAGCTTTAACCCCAGGATTATATCTTTTACCATGCATCAAATATAGTCATATCATGAGATGTTCCATATTATTAGTGAACAGGAATCTTGATTACCAAAACCTGATTGATATGAATGCTCACAGTCTGTGGCCTTTTGGATTAACAGGCTACAATTTTTACTCTCAACTGAAGCATTTACAGCAACTGCACAATTCCTAGACAGAAATTCTTCGTTTTAATTCCACAGTGTGTAATACTAAAAGAGAGCTTTCCTACCCACTCTCCAAAAAAAACCCTTGTTGCCAAGGTGGGTTACATACCTAAACACAATAAAATCTCTTAATTTCCTGAGTTGTTGAAGGGATTGGATTTCCTTAGTAAACTGAGCTTTGTAACAGTGATGGGAACACAGCTGTGAAAGGTTCCTTCATTAGCTGCCTTGGTTTTTTAATTTGATAGGTGTGCTGTGGGAAGATGATTGGTCATCAGTGAGTAACCTAACTAACCTCACTTCTAGCCTCTTTCTGAAAGGAAGTTGATGTGCACTTAATCTCGTTTTATTCAACATCTTTTTTTTCAGATCTCATGTTATACTCTCAACCCTTCTACATATTGTACCACAGACTTGCATAAGAATAAAGTAGATTTTCCATCTACTCTGATCTGCTTCTACATCATAGACTGTTCAAAGGGAACAGAAGGAAGACTAATTTGCATTCTTATTATTTGGACTATGATTGTCTTGCTTCTTTTAAAATAGGTGTGAAATTTTTCTAGTACAAGTGAATTTTTATTTAAGGAAAGGGCTACTAGGAAGTTTATTAGATTAGATTGTGTTAGTTTTTTTCCTGTAGAATTCAGGTTTTGAAGCAGCCATTCTCCAGTCCCTCCAGGGAAATAGTTCTTTCAGTCAGAAAAGAAAACCTTCTCGGTACCTGTAGCAAAAACAGAGGCCCCTTCAATAAAAATCTTTCATTAGTGACATACTTGGGTTTTCCAGTTGCCAACACTGAGCCAAAACCATAAACCTGGGTGGTACAGAAGAGAGACTTAAACCCAGTATGTCACCTCTACAGATGATTTAGATACTTTGCTAGGATACCAGCGATGGCTGCTGTGGGTGGAAGAGGTTTTGAAAGAGGGCTTATTTTGTAATAGGGCTGTCTAGTTGAAAATAGGAAGTTAGAGATTAATATCTCGGCCCAAAGCACATGAATTCTGCTACTGTCCAGAATTAAAATGGAAGAGGTAAATGTAGGACTCTTGTTATGTTACTGGAGAGAGAATGTTTACACAACAGGAGGAGAACATGGCAAAGTGGGCAGGGTACTGACCTCTCAGTCAAGCAGCTCCCAATACTATTAGAAAAATTATGGAATGGAATAGTAATATAAATTGAAAAAACAGTACCAAAAAGCCTGAATCCATGTTAACTTGTTATTTTTTCAAGGGTTTTTCACTTTCTAATTTCTGGGTTTAGTTTTTTTTTCTGAAAATATAGTAGCATTATGGTTTTGCTGACCAAGTATGTGGATCAGCAGTATAATTTATGATCTGACTTGTGTTTTAAGCAACAGACACACTCTGTTTTACCATGTAGGGAATTAACTACTGTCTGATTGTAGCTCTGTGATAGCTTTTCAAATGTTCCTGTTGTACAAAGCGTGTATTTTCTGTTTTGTTAACCTTACTTTATAGAAACAGTGTAACTGAGCATGTTTCTGTTTTTTTGTTGCTTCTTATTTTCTTAGGCTGAAGAGCAGGACAGATGGGCAATGCATTTTGATTCTTTAAAGAACCACCTTAATTCTAACGCACAACACTCCCTAAATGGAATGTACAAAAAGCAGCCTGAAAGTCTTTGCCTGTCACCTGACCCTAAGGAGCTGACTGCTTTTATTCACCCTTTTTCACCTGCAGCTTTAGGCAACTTCATGCCCTTAAAGGTGGAAAATGCAGGAAAATCTGCTAAAAACAGTGCTTTGGAACACAGTCAGAAAGTCAGGTGAGTGAACTTTGTAAGGATAATCATCTTCCCAGCCAGTACATTTCTGATACCTCTTTAGAATTTTTTTTTTTTTAAATTGAATATGAGTCTTTAAGTCTGATCTCTGGATCTTACTCCTTTGACTTATGCTTTTTTTAGAAATGTCACTTGTTTCACTTTTGAAAGACACAAGTGCTTCCGTTGTTCATTAATAAAATTTACTGCAAATAACCTTACTTTGTTCCTTAGTAAAATGAATTTCATAATTGTAAATTAATATAATGAGATAACCTCAATATGAAAATATTACTTGAAATCTAACTGATTCTAATTAAGAAAGACTTTAGGATTATCTTTTAATGATTAAAAATATTTACATGTTTCTTTGTTCATAGTTTCCTCCGTTCAATGACTGCTCTCCTGGACCCTGCACAGATTGAAGAGAGAGACAGGAGGCGGCAGAAACAGTTAGAACATCAGGTAGACTTTTGTTTTAAAGTCTAACACTATTTTAATGAGAAGGAAGGATGAAAGGTAGTGTTGTCTTAGGAATAAAGAATGAGATTTAATACCAGAATCCAGTGAGGCCCTTGACTTCTCTGCTTCAGATTACATGTTTACAGTTGTTTAACAGTGTATCATTCTGTTAGACTCTACAGTTTTCTTTTAATATTTGTACAGAGATTTTTGCATTTCTGTAACTGAATTCTTGCCTCAAAAAATGTACAGTGTAGTATTTAGAGCTCCAGTAGGTTTGTGTGTATTTTTCTTCAGTCTCCACTGTCATCAGGCAGACTGATATTTACAGATACCCACTCCATGAATCTTTAAATTTTTATCTGCTTTACTGTCATTTACATTACTTCTCTGGCATTCTAACTGAACTGCTAGATCAAAATACTACCTTACAGTATGTAAGGTAAAAATCAGACCACCATTTCTTTACAAGAAAAAGAAAAGCATTTTATAAAACATAAAAAGCTTCTTTTGTTTGAGTATTGCAAACTGCTTTATTGGGCTGGTGGCTCCCCCTCTCCATCCTCTCCCCCCCCACCTCCCCCCCCCCCAAAAAAGGAAGACAGCTACCCCTTGTGAGGAATTAAAAAAAACAAAAATGTTTGAAATTAATTGTCTTGATTTTTTTTTTTTTATCCAAATTCAATTACTGTACAAGTATATGGAAATACACAAATAAATAGCTAATAATACCTTAATGTCATATCTTTTCATTTTCCTTTTTTTCTGATTCTACTAGAAAGCAATAATGGCTCAGGTAGAAGAAAAACGGAAGAAGAAACAACTAGAGGAAGAGCAGAGAAAATGGGAAGAACAAGAGGAAGAACAGCGCCTAGCACGAGAAAAAGAACAAATGCAGAAACAGTTTGAAGAAGATATGCTGAAACAAAAACAAAAGGAGGTGGGTTTTTGCATTTACTTTAGTGCAGATAGTCTGTAATAATGCTGGGTTTGAGGAGAATGGTTCTTGTTCTTCACCTTATCACACTGAGAATGAAAACTATCCAAAATATAGACATTTGAAACCAAAATCTGTTTCCTCAGTTAATACTTTGTAACACCATACAACTTTTAAGGGAGGTTTCTTATTTTTGGACAAGGGCCTTTTCAGGAAGAGAAATAATATGAACCGGCAAAACCAGAATTGTAGTTTTGAATAATGCAGAAACGTGCATTTTTAAATTCAGATTTTAAATAAATACCTCAAATTATGTGGTCCAGTTATTGTTGTTAGTAACTTCATGCTTTTAAGATGGCTCAGTACGATGAAGTTTACCTGACGGGATGTGCTTTCACTCTAGATTAAAAGTAATTCATGTTTTAGAACTTTTTTCTGTGTAATTATCGCTGAGCTTTACATATTCAAGTTAAACCAAAAGTACATTTTGACCATTGGCAAGTACAAATTTTGCATTTGCATACATTCTTACCTCTGTAGAAGGTTAAAAGCTGTGTCTGATGTTTTATTCTTCCTTTTGGCATGGTAGCAGCTATCACTGTTTGCTTCATATTTGGAACAGTAGCAGAATTCCATGATGTCATAAGACAGGGTGATTCCAAAAACACACCCTTCTCCAAAACCTGCAGAAATACAGAAATCCCTGATTTCTTTGCATTTTCTGGATGGAAACATATAGCATCCACCTGTAGATGCTGGAACAAACTGGTAGAGACTGGGAGTGTTGTCTTTCTCTGCAGTAGACGAGCTCCTTCAAAATGTGTTATGCTATCAGTTGTTCTTGCTTCCACCTAGAAATTCAGTAGGAAGCAGGGATAGGATGGTAGTAGCAGTTTGGAAAGGAGATTTCCCTTGGCCCAGTCTCCTGCACCTTGAACCTGCTGAGTCTGGAAACTGTAACCCTCATACTCTGGGATGTTCTGCCTTTGTTAGGGAGGCTTCTAGTGTCTCCTTTCAGTGGCAATAGGAAGAAGGTGGGTTTTAAAATTATTTTTATTTAGGATTCTTTTATTTCATTTAACCACATGATAGGAGGAAGTCATAGATAGCTGAAATCAGATGGCATTTAGGAAGAGAAGGATTTGTTAGAAGGGAGATAAATATCCAAATGAATTTTGAGGATCTTGATGCTCACTTTTTAATGCTAGGATTGAACATCTTTCGTTAGCACAGCAGAGGTTCTGAATTTGACTTTATAATCATAAAAGTTATATGTTACTTATTGCATCTACTCAACTAATTTTGGTTTTGTTTTCTTAAAAAAGAAGCTTTACACAAAATAAGAATATATGTAAACTTTGAGGATTATTAATCCCATTAAGTTTATTCTCAAAGTAAATTACCATCTATATTTACTTCTTTTTTATTTTTAAAGGAATTCGCGACTCTTAAAACAAATGAGATCTATCAGACAATGCAGAAAGCTCAAGAATTAGCACAGAGATTAAAACAAGAACAGCGCATTCGAGACTTGGCTCAAAAGGGACATGACATTTCAAAACTTCAGAAGAATCTTGGTGGTGGCAAGTAGAAGTCTTTTCATACTCAGTTTGCCTATTCCTTTGGTGTTTGCACACAAATTTTGTGAGTTTTGTTTTGTTTTGTTTTGTTTTTCCCTGCCTGCATTTGGGTCAGAAATTGCTCCTTTGCTTCACAAACCAAATTTAATTTCAGCTTCCAAAGAAATATCAGTTTAACTAATACAGAGAATATTTTATTTTGGTAAGCTTCAAATACTATATTACATAAAGGAAGGAATATGAAGATATTATCAGGAGTGAATAGGGAATATTCAGACGTATGTGCCGTTGATTAGATTTCCAGTGAAAAAGGGAGAGTATTAGGATCTGAACCATAGTTCTCAGTCTTGCTTTGAGTTATAAACCACAACAGTCTGATAACTTGACAACATGGTTTAAATGAAACATGCGTTACTAAATTGAACAATTTTACTTACTACTTTTTAGGTGATACAGAATTTGAAAACTGTAATACTGGCGTTTCACATCAAAGTAATCATTTTTCAGATGACATTAAGAGTCACACTGATCAGAAGACTTCTTCTCGGAAAGACACTGCTGTGCAAACAGGTATGCAGCCCTTGATTTAATTACTCCGAGGTACTGCAAGAAAGATGGTAGAGCAGCATATTTATGAAGCTGAGCCAAATCACTGTCATTCAGAATGGAATAAAACTAGAAAGAAATACTTGGACAGACACAGACATGTTAGTATATTACAACGTATTACTATAATCTTCTAAATAAATTATATGTCTATATGGTTATTACTTACCAGTTACAGGTTCAAATCACACAGTCTGGAATACAGCATTGACTTAGAGTCATGGTCACAAGCCACGTAGAACTAAATTTAAGGCATTTAAACATGTAGTTGTAGTAGGCTTCAACGTGAATGTTCACAGGCTTACGTAACATGATTTGGTATAGAGCAGGGCTGGGTTCCTAATGAATCTGTGAAAATACTGGCTGAAACACTGTCAGTAATTCTGGAATTAGAAAACTAGACTAATTGGAAAATGAGAGCTTACATTCAGATGTTTAGAAAAGCTTTTTACAGTTCTTCCTAAATACCCAGACAGAATTGAGGGTCCATCTAGATAGAATACTTTCCAGTCTTTATCTTGATTTTGTGTCACACCATTAAAAAACCCAGCTCAAACTTAGTCTGCATTTATTAATGTTGTAGATGAGGTAGAATGAGCAGATTCAGTGGAAACTTACAGTCACTTTATGCTTTGTATTTAGAAATTTATTAGCTTATCACTTGTGAATTGGAGGCTTTATTTTATTTCTATTTGCTTTAAACAATTAATATTTTTTGTTTTAATGGTGTTGGTAGAAATCTTACTGTGAATTTGGAGAGCTTACAAATTAAATAAGATTTCTGTGTATGCCCCTTAATAAAGAAAGAAGCCAGGTTCTTAGTAATTTAAAAATTGAACAACATATTTCCATTGGAAGACAAGGCTTAGGAAACTAAGTTACTCCCAGTAGCGCTGTGAATATGGCCAAACCATTCGCATTCTAAACTAAAGAGAAGCTGTGCTTTGCTCTTTACCTTTGGGTACCATAACAGAAATGGAATTCTACATTTTAAAATAATGTAGTTTCATTTTACATAAATTTTGCTTTTTGGCTTGATTTCATTCTCCAGTCTTTATTTTTTTGCCTGTCCTTACTGAGTTTGCTTTTATCAGTCCTATGTATCTTGCACATCAAAAAGAATAAAAAACATTGTAAAACCATAAGAACCAATTTTTGAATAAAATCAGTAATGGTAGATTGATACACATACAAAAGTCAAACAGGTAATTTGAATAGCTTAGACTTGGAAGACTTGGAGTTAAAATATACTTTTTTTTTTAGAGTACTTAAATATTTCATCATACACTGAGTCAGCTGAGGAAAGAACTGTGTGTTGCGGATCACCTGATATTTCCATAGAATATAAAGAAACCTCTTACAGCAAAAAATACCACAAGGAAATGCAGTATATAGATAAAAATAAAATTTCAGGAAAAGAGGCTGCTGGGATTTACAGTGATCTATATGAACAATATGTAAGAAAAGAAAGACAAATTAAACCTTCAGAAAAACACAGCAAAAGACCTGACTGGAACATAAACAAGCCTGGGAAAAGATACATTCCAGCATCGGAAAGATACCCTAAACAGCTACAAAAACAAAGGGAAGAAAACAAAGTAAGGCGACAAATGGAACTGCTTCAGTTGGTAGAAAGAAATACCCCTGGGAATCTCTGCCCCAAAAAGGGTGGTTATTCAGACAGGTCTCCTTCACCTCACGAAGAAATAAATATGAAGAATAAGGGACATAGAGTCAGAAAGGTAACTGTTTGGTCTTTAACAACAACAATGTGTATTTTTAAGACTCTTGTTCCACACGGTTTTGCCTGGATGGGAATTCAGTTTTGTAACTCAAGCATTGAGAATTTTCCTGTTCCTATCCTTTGTGTAAAGAATGGTGTTACAGCATTGTTTTGTTCATCGTAATCGGAAGAGTATATTCAGATTTTGTGACTTAGCTTTTACTATTACTTTAGTCTTCCAAAGTGTTGATTCACTTTCATTTATTCATTATCATTGATTCATTTTGTAAACAGGGAGCTTGATTGAAAGCAGTGTGTGGGATTGAATGACATCACTGCTGTGTTCTGTCCAGTTATTGTGTTGTGGGGATGGTTGAGGTCGAGGAGTACCTTTTCAGTACCTGCAAAGAATACAGATTACTGAGGATGTAACCTGTTGTCATAGAAATGCATCCTTCTTAGTGAAGTCATTTCTTCTCTAGTAGCAGTAAGCAGGTATCAGGATAGCTTGTGGCTGGGAAAATAAATAATTTTCATTTAAAGAAAATACTGTCAAATATATTCACGCCATTTCTCTTGCTTGTTCACTCTGTATATATATACATAAGTATGCATAAACACCTCACTTTCTCACACCTTCCAATAGAAAAAATCTGCTGTAGAAAAGGTGGCCACTTCATTTCTTTTTAGCCATTTGTTCACTGTGGCTATGCACACATATTTTAGAAGCTGTGGGTATTAAAAAAAAAAAAAGTATGTGAAAATACATAACTGTTCATATAGGTATCGTTAAAGATTTCTTGAAGTGAGCTGGTTTATTTGAGGTTAATGGTAAAAAGTTTTGTGTTTACATTATTGAAAAGTAAATGTTCAAGAATTTTGTACCTGAGAAATGAAGCAATTAATTTTAAGCAGATTTTTAAGATAAGTAAGCGTTGTCTGATACCATGAGAAGCATGGCATACGTTAATAGATTTTATTTAAATAGAAAACTTTTACTGACTGTATCTAGAAACACAACCGTTCCTTTAATAATCATTATCTTGGGCTCAACCTTTCAGGTTTATAAATGCAGCTTTCCAAGGTCATTGGAAAATATATATAGTATTTTTCATAGTTCTTAGAGCTGCCAAAGACATAGAAAATTGGAGCAAATACTCCTGGAATTTGTTTAATTTAGTTTATAGACATGACAAGCCTCTTTAATGCAAGTCTTTGATAAATACCTTTCTCCTGAACCCAGGTCCTTTTGGAATTTCAGAACAAATTTATCTTGGAAAATGAAAGCTTTTAATATAAAAACATTGAGATTTATATTTTACTTTTGACTTTCTTGGTTTTCTCCTAGGAAGAACAATTACATAAGAATCATTTGAATGAAGAAAGGTATGTCAATACTCTGCATTAATGAAATGTATAAATACATTAATAGTAAAATACACATGCCTTTCTCTCCTGATTTTTAATATTTTAAAATAATGTAGATGCATCTAATTGTCTACTATTAAAAATAGACAAGACCAGACAAACTGCAGGTATAAAAGCAGAGTAAATGATCAAAAGTCCAGTCTTCTGAGGACTCATTGTCTCTTCTGTTTGAGAAAATTCATCACATTACTTGAGTATTGTTTGGTGTTTACTTAACTGAAATTGTTTCATGCAGATCTGAATCACCACCTGTTCCAGCAGTTAAGAACAGATTACATCAAGTACAACAAAAACAGATACTTGCTTCTAATTTCCTGGTGCATAACCACAACAGCAGAAGAGAGAAAAATATCAAGACAGATACACAGCAGAGGAGCTCCCCTCCTCCCATTGCAGAAGCTGGACGACCTCCCTCTTCACAATTTATTCCGTATGTTCGAACAAATGAAGTATATTATCTTGATCCAGATGCACCAGTGACTAGACCTTCAACACATGACCCACAGTATCGACAGTTTAATGGTACTGAAATGCGTTGTGAACTGATTCATGTAGAAGAGATGTTACAGTGATTTAGTTCAAAGTGATACAAATTACTCAATTTGTTACTGTTTTTTCCTGAATTTGCAGTAACCCCTGTGTGTCACAGCACTGTACAGAAAGCCTGTACAACCAAATGATACTCTATTTGAAAAAAAAACAAACCAAAATTAAAAAAAAAAACCAACAAAAACATAGAAAAAGTTTGAAAAAAATTAAAATAGCAACAAAATTTGTTACTCTGTTATCTGTCTTTTTCATCTGTTTACCTTTAATGAAGTATTATTGCACTGCTCTGGTACTACTGCATATAGATTTGGGTTTAGGAATCTGAGTGTTGTCTGACTTAAAATACTGATCGTAATCTGATAGCAACCAAAACCTGATTTTCACAAGCTGTAAAATTCTACTGCTACAAAATGAAAACAAAATTGATAAAGAGTATTGTTAACTGATTTGATACACATTTACTTTTAGATTCTTATCAAATGCCACGACCAATTCTTAGCTCTGATCACGTTAGAGATTCTCTTCTAAATCCTGATGCAGTCAAAATCAGAGAGAGACAACAAGCAATTCTCAAAGGATTGTCAGAATTACGCCAGGTAAGCAAAAAGTTATTGGATAAACATGTATGTGTATATATACTAAAGTTAAAATGAACACTGCAAACTATTACATAGTTATAAGCATTTTTCCATCATACACAATTAAGTTTGGGGCCATGTGCTCTACTTTTATTCCCTCATACTAAATTTGCTTTTTGTGCATTACTTCCACTTTTGGACTGCCCCTAGAGAGAGACTATGGACTCCTTAGTCCTCAGGTTAGCTATGAAGCGGTGGAGTACCTGAGAAAACTTGAAACCAAGAGGAATCGCTTTAGTCTCTGGGTTTTGATAGTTAGAATTGCTTATAGTAAGAATGTTTCAATTTCAAGGGGAAAAAGAACAGTATTTTACCAAAACACTAGAGCCCTTGGTAATGAAATTTCACTTCTGCATTTCATGGGTAAGCCAGTCATGACAGAGCAGTGTAGTTGGTGCAGAAGAGTTAGGGGGGTGGTACTTGTGTGTCAGACCTGGAAAAATCCTGTATTTTTCCAATTTGAAGAGTGAACACTCACAGAAACCTTCCGGGAGAGCTTCATTAACATGTAAAAGTAAAATTCAGGATTTGTCAATCAGCCAGATTTAGTGAGTGAATATAAAATGAAATTTAGTTTAATACTACACACAGACGAGCACATGAGAAAAAAGCTTGTTTGTATACATTGTTCTATGTGTAGTAAGTTACTGGTAATGATTAAATGTGTGGAATTGCCAGAATTTTGAATATGGTGAGACTGTCATTAAGGCTCTGTGTTGCAGTAACTTAAAGAAGCACAAAAGATTTTGGCTAGTAACTGTGAAGTTACCTATTTTTCTGATTGGAGTCAGAATACCAGGAAATACTGCCAGGCATCTAGTTATTATATGAGTGAATTTGATACTCCACCTGTTGGCAACAAGGTGTGGCCCATCACAGATTTGCACTGCAGGTCTGGATAACTGCACTGTTTCCTTTTACACTTCTAAATGTCCTGACGGGGGACTGCAAGATAAAAAAAAGCACATTTAGGTTTGCATTTTAGTCTTGAAGAACAGTAAAGGCAAAAGTGTATCAGTGTATTCCCTTGCTTTTGAATGGCTCTTTGCCTTTAGGAAGAAAACTTCCTTAAATTGTCAAAATAAAGGGAAGAAAATCTGACAGACTTAAGTGCAACAAAGCTACCAGTAGTTAACTCTATTCATTACCTGTTGAGCTTTAGAAGGAAATTGTGCCATGCATACCTTGTGCTTCAGTAGTAGGTAAATTCCTTGTGTAAACAAAGGACTGTGGCTCTCCCCAAGTTATTAAGGAAGTTGTGACCCAAGAGCACTGTTTGGTTACTGGTTTCTAATGGCTTCCAGATAGGTTTCACTGGATCTCGTCTTCCCCAGTGCTCATTAACATTTTTGTTAAATATCTGCAACTGTTAAGTATTTTGTATTGAGACTGCACTTGTCAGTGGTATTTTGGTTAAGAGTGAAGCCACCTTCAAAGCACAATTTGATCTGTGTGCTTGCTGAGGCCAGTAAAAGCTGTGGATATTTAAAGAGGTTTAAGGTGATAATATCCGTGTTGGGAAACTTAAGAGACAGGAGCTTAGGGACATTTTTGATGCACAGTATATATTCAAGTGTTAACAATGGCTAAAATAACGTTAAGGTTAGTCTTGCAGTGGATCTTGGTTCTGCAAGAGAGTTAACCTAAAACATTTAAATATCCTACCAGCAGCAGAATGCATTTGGGACATTAATTGTTGAACTTGAGTTTATCTGGTATACCTAAGTATTGTATACTCCTACAGACAACACCTGTTCTGGATCAGTTATTTCACTGAGAAAGGAAGAACAATGCTGTATTTTGTGTGAAGTATCATTTAGACAAAGAACAGACTTTACTTTTCTATTGCAGAAGATAATCTAGTCTTTTTTTTTAAATTGATATACACATGCATATATTATATATATTGGATTGATAGTTTCAGAAGATACATGTATCTGTATCTCACAACGTACTTGACCATTCTTCGGCCGCCTTTGGGGGAATTCACAGCATATTTGACCAGTCTTTAGCCTCTGAAGTACACACCCAACTAGAGGGATAGATAAATACAGTGGGGCTGTTTCAGTAACAGTCTAGCGGAACCAGCTGAGCTGTGGAAGGGCAGGAGTGAAATCAGAGGGCAGGGGTGGGCCTGCCCCTGCCAAAGGGAGAGCGGGAGGGCAAGGGCTGCTCATGGTGATTGTTACCAGACAACAAGTCTCTGCTTTTATATTTCTGGTAACAGCAGTAATAGGAACTATCAACACTTATTTTCCTCACTAAACTCAGGAGTCGGTGGAATAAGCCCAAGGTTATTCATCCAGCAAAGTGAATTCAGTATTTGTGAAAAAGAAGGGCCAAAGTTTAAGAAAAAGGACAAAACCCCCAGCTACTGTCACTACATACCCGAGCATCTTGTTTTCACTAAGGCAATAAAACCGCTTGCCTACAATAGCTAAGTGATCCTGCCAGCCACGGGCAGGCTGCCCAGGGACATGCAAAGAAGGACCTCGTCCTTGTGGAGGGACTGCACGTTACTTTTCTCTAGGCCCCTTTTTATCTTTGCAAACCATGTGATTGACTGTTCTAATTTTCAATGTTACTTGTTTCTCACGTCAGCTCTGGGTTGATTTAGGGCAATTTATTTCATGACTTCATTTTGTAATATGCTACTAAATGCAAAAAACACTGTAATAAAAGTAATTATTGACAAAGGGACTAACAAGCCCACTGACCCATTAATAGAAATAGCAGATACTGTTGATTAATTAAAAAGCAGTTCATCAGGTGATTTAAAATAGGCGGCTGCTGCTTCTGGAAGGACACACACTGAAATCTAACAGGCACCTTGGCTAAAGGAAGCCAGTTCTGCAGGACCTGGCTCCCCTTCTGTGCCACCAGCAGTACCAGCTCTCAGCTGAGGCCCGTAACCATTAGCTTTGAAAAGGGTCTTCTACCTCTGAGGAAAAATACCACTGTAACTTTTGTGGGCTTTTAAACAAACTTCTTTGGCACCAACTGACTTCTGACAGGTCTAAAATGGATAGAGACCGAGGGGCTGGAACATATAAAGTCCTATTAATTACAGTAGAAGTTCTTACTTAAAATTTATGAATGTACAGGACATAGCTGTATCACGTATTACTTACCACACAGACACAGATACACTTAGAGGAGTTTTTTATTCCAGGTCTAGTACTTATGGGAGCCATTAACAAAGCAGGAACCTTTTACCTTTTGAGAGTAAATACGCACATCCTTAAGCATCTGACACTGTTCTAGTTCAAATGGTAAAGCTGCCCTTTATCTTAGAGTATAATTTATGTTAAGACTAGAAGCTGGTACCTGTCAAGGTTTTGGGTTCAGCTTCATACAAGAATATGCTAGAACACTACAAAAGTAGTGACAGTGCGCAGAGGAGAGAGCAAGTTAAATTTAATACAATGGAAGAGTATTTTTTCCTCTGCACAGTCATCCCTGGAAACTGGACTGGCTTCCCCTTCAGTCACACTTCAAGTCTTTTGCAGAAGACAGAAAATTTCAGCTTCCCTCTCTGCTGAATGTACTATGTGCCACATTTAAAAAGCATTGAGACTTAAGAAGTGGATTGTTTTAAAATATGAAACAGCGACGCTTTATTAGCTCAGGCTGCATGAGGAAGACAGATCATTCACCTTTATATTCTGTTTATTTCAGGGCCTCCTGCAGAAGCAGAAGGAGCTGGAGACAGCTTTGATTCCTGCTATAGCTCAAGAAGAGAACTTTATTTCACCATTTTGAGAGGTACATATGAGTTCTGAATTCTTACAACGTAAATGCACAGCACTTTGTTACTGTAATTAATTATGAACCATCTCTATCTTTTTTATGAAATATTTAAATTATGTGAATTTTGATAGATTATGGGGTCATGTTGCTTTTCCTATTGAAGATACATGAAACTAATGATGGTGTGTCTGCTCAGAATGGTCTTTATGCTACCTGAAGACAGATATCCGTTTAATATAAATCACCAAAACACAGTTTAAAAACGTTACATGTGTTTTTGTAGAACGCAGTGTATGTATTTGGATAAATAAAAAGACTAAGATGTATTCTGAATGGCTTGGGTAGATGTTATTGGTATTTTTAACTATATGAAAGTGCCTGTACTTAACTGTTCTGACAGTTTTTAGGTTTGGACAATTAACTGAGGAAATCCCAGATTTCAAAACCACAGAAGTGCTGACTGTAAACTCCCCCCCGCAGTTATAGCATTCACAGCGGGCTGGGCCCAAGGCAGTAAAACCCAGTTTAAGGAAGTTTTCTTACAACCAGGGTTTGAACACATTGGTATTCAGTGTTTCCAGTCAGAATTAAATGTTTCCTTCAGATTAATTTGCTTTTAGTCTTCAAGAGATAGGATAGTCTGGGGTAAAACTGTTTCTCTTCTAGATCTCTGCAGAAGTTTCATAACCTGAGTTCATTTTAGTTGTTCTGTGACAGAACGTGATAAACGCCACAAACCCCCAACCCCAGACTCTTCCCAGCAGCAACTTTGCCAGAACCCGAATCCGAAGACGCCTCACAGCAGCGGCCGGGGGCAGGGAGGTGCCCTCTTGCCTCTCACCCGTGCGCCCAGGCATGCGGTAGGTGAGAAGCTGCACTTGCTGCTGCAGGTGGTTAGACGAGTTCTTCACAAAATCATTAAAACCCATCATTTTGACCGATACAAGGGAGTTCTCTGTTTGAAAAAACATTATGTATTTGCCATGTTTGGTGGGAGGGAAACAACTGCTACACTAGTCTAGTATTGGTTTGTTCTTAATTTAAACAAATCAAACCGTTAGTAGAAGCAAAGACATTCAATTTTAGGGAATTTGTTTTTTAGGGAACCTTTTTTAAAGGCTACCCTTTTTTAACCAATACTATTCGTCCCAACTAGTTTTGTGAGTTGAGTCGTGTAGTTTCAAACACTGGCATCTGGTACTAAACCATGCATCCTACGTAAAAGCACTACAGTCAAATTACAAACAGGAAGAAACCCCAAATGTAGGACTCTGGACAACTTGAAGACAAGAGCAGTAAACATACAAGTCAAGAGTATTAGTATATGCAAAACCAGCAATGTAATAGCAAGGGTAGTCTTGAGACTCCACCACTATTTACTATCAGCTGCTGTTTCCCAGAAGCCTGAGCTAATTAAGAGAGAATCACTGGGGAAAAGTAAGTTTATAACTCAAAAGATGTGAAATTTAAGAAAGACAAGATTAAGAAACAAATAAAACTCTGTACTTATGGACAATGCTAGTTTACAAAAAAAAAAAAAAAAAAAAAAAAAAAAAAGAGGAAAACACCAGTAATCCCTGTGCTGAAGTGGGAGAAGACTGAGGTTCTTCTAATGCAAATTGAACTACCACAGTCATTAAAACCAGGTTTGTCCTTCTCTCATTACAGTAATTACAATGGCAAGATAAAAGTTGTAAGATCCCTCGGACTGTGCTGTAATAAGCACAGGCTATCACCATTAGATGCGAAGATAACTGCTATTCATAAAATAAAGCTTGGGTGTTTCTCAGGTGCTTGGAAAACAATATAAAAACCACAGACAATGCAATGTGTTAGCAAGTCCCTTGTGCATTAAAAGTTTATTTTATTTTTGTAATGGAACCGCACCATCAGTTACGCTAATTGAGGTATTTAGCCAAAATCCAGTATATAGTCATTAAAATAACTACACTGCCTTATAGCTATGTAAAAACATTTGTACAAAATTTGTGTCAAATGTCAAATAAATACATAAGTTTTGATATTTATGTAAAGAAAAGTGATTTGGATACTCTTACAGTTAAAAAAAACTCGCTTTTTCACATATTTTAGGCAAACATTCAGTTTTACATTAAAACAGACCTCAAACTGAAGCCCAGGTACAGGTCAAATACAAATGTAGAAACTTAAAAGTGCCAACAAACAAGATAATTCAAGTACAGTAAATGTTAAAAAATATAGATATTTATTTCAGTTTTCAGATGTGTTCAACCAGTACAGGCCATCAGGTTTTAAATAAGACAAGAAAACATTTGAGATAGAGGACAAGAAACATTTTGTTCCAGAATAAAATAGAAATTGTTAATCCACCATTTTAGAAACAGAAAAGTCCACAGCAACTTATAAAAAAGAGATTTAGGAGTTTATTTCTGTTTTGAATAGGGCCTGGAAGAATCACAATTTATATCCCAGCCACCAGGTGATGATGACTTCTCTGTATCCATGCTCTGACTGTAGGCAGATAGAAAATAATTGCCCCCTTCTTGGTTTTGACTTGCAGAAGAAATTGGGTATGTTGTTCCCAGAAAAGTCTGATGAGTGAGTACGTTAAAGTGACTGAATTGATGGGACATGTTTAATTGTCTACTATAAACTGGGAAGTTACTGAAAGGAGCTTGTTCAACTGAATTGTGTTTTTTCTCCTTCAGCAGAGCAGGTTGTAGAAATGGGAGTAATTGGTTGTATCTCTTCCAAGTCAATTTTAGAAGTCTTTTCCATCAAGCCAATTTGTGCTTCAGGAGATAACTCTGCAACTGATAAGCAGCTTGCTTTCGCGTCTACTCCATAGGAGCCCTTGGCCTCTGTCTGCAAAGCTTCCAAAGGAGTATCATACTTAGAAGCATCAGTGCAGACTTCTATTTGTGATGTTTCATCCCCTGAATCCAGAGACATGTCCTCCTCATCCTTTCCATCATTTTCTACAAGAACTACATTAAAAAAGAAGAGAGAAAGTCCTATTCCATTGAAATACAAACTTTGGTTAGAAAAGCTATACACTACTCACAGAGTGTTACGCTTCAGGTCTGTAAGTCCATTATCACTTAAGTCTTGGTCTTCTGCCTCTCGTTCACTTACTCAACATACACACTTAACCCTCTGTGTGAGTGTCCAGTTATTCCGATGCTAAAAGCTTCTGCGCATTACGTTCATGTTTAGTGTTGGGAAATCCCAACTCCCAGCTCCAAAGGGGTTAATGTCAAAACAGCATCTAAAGTTACACAGTAGGTGAGTATTTGATCAGACAATTAAAGGAGTACAACTACCAACATCTCAGTCCTTTTGTTAGGGTTTCTGAAAGCTATCATCAAGTTCACACTTCCCTGAAAAAACAGACGGTTACACCCCTTGGGTCTGTGCCCACTTTCTGGATACCAGGTTAGCCTGTCATTCTGTATTTACAGCCTCCTCTGGTGCTCCATCCCACCACTTGTGCCCCATCATTTAAAATAGAAAGAGTAGCTTGAGAGTTGGGTTTTCCTTCTGCTCTCTACTGTTCATTTGCAAAAGCAAAAGCATCCTATCTCAAGGATGGCCACCCCACACGGCTAACTAGGTAAAGAAAGTTTAAGCGTGTTTAAGTGCGTAGATAAAGACAGTTTAATACTACCTGATTGTCTTTTGTGAGCATCAGAGGCAGGAAGGCTGTTTCCTTCAGTAATGGAGCTGTGATACCCAACGAGACTTTTAAAATTCTGCATGAAGTCATCAACAGTAGCAACCACTATTCCATTATCAACATAATTTGAAAATCTTTTGAGATTCTTTTCTAAATACAGGAAAGGAAATTTTGTATTAATATTTAGCACCTTCTATCAAAAGAAGGCAAGAAGTTTTCACAAATGTTGGTTTTACCTGTTAAGAAGACAACGTGTCTCTGTTGTATGTTTTGAGCCTGAAGCCTGATAAGACAGTCTAATTCTGGGGCATTTCGAGTTTGAGAATCACAATTATGGTAAGACAGAATCTCAACCAAGTGCTTCTTTTGATAGGTATTCAGGAGGGTCAGCAGACTCAGGGCATTAGCATTCATTCTAGAACAGGAAAAAAAAAGCACACTATTAAAAAGATACTTGATTTAAGGTCACTCTAAATATTAAGTCAAAAGACAAAGATAAGAGTACGTTCTACTTAATGGAGTTTCAGAGAGCATAATTAAATAACGCTGAAGTGTTGGAACAACTGGCAGTTGAAGAGCACTACTTACCTCCCCAGCTCTTTAAGTTTTTTTTGGATTTTGCAGTGGACTTTCCACTGCCATTTCCCATCTGGGGTATTGAGATCCTCCAGAAACTTTAAGAACTGTTTTAATTTATCTGTTTTGGAGATACAGAATAGAAGTCAAATGTTGTGGTATGCAAACTGAAAATACTGCTTTGGTAGATACATAAAGCTGCTTTCTGTTTTCATCACAGTATAGTCACACAACTACAAACATCAGCCTAGTCCTTCAGGTTTTCCTCCTAGCAGATTAGCCAACAATAGTCCAAAACTGAGCTGCTTTTCTGTAGGTCAGATGCCTAACAGTGGTATCTGCATACATAAAAGCTGAATTCAATCATACATGGTCTGCCTGGCTGAAATATCTGTTTAAAAAAGTGGTAATTTTGTTAACTATCAAAGAAAAAGTGACAAAATGTAGTTTTTCAGTATTTTTTTCTAGTGTTTTTGTGGACTGAGTAATAAGAAATAAAAGGTTCCATATACATAACTACACACTCTAACACAAACTTAGAAAGCCAAGATCTCCAAGTTCACATGTTCCCCAGAAGTATGTTCCCCAAAAAGACCACTGAGGTACGAAAAAGACTGAAGTAGCTGAAGTTCTCCAAAAAACGTCACAACAATTAGCTAGAAAGCTTGAAAATTAGAAGACTTGATTCTTCAGTGCAGTACATGTGGCATCTTGCATGCCGAAATACCAGGCTTTGTTTGTGTTTGAAAGCTTCAGAAAGCAACACACTTACCTGTAGTGATGGACTCTGAATTAAGAACAGATTCATCTGACACAACAAAACCACCAGACACGAACAGTTCATTGTACGTGTGATTTTTCACATCATCCAAACTATCGACACCCGCAAAGCTGACACAAGAAAGCCTCTTCAAGGTTATTAAGCGAGGTATCTGTTTAAAAATGTTAGAGATGTGTAACAAAGATCATACAAAAAAAAAACTACAGAACTTTCCTACTTACTAATGCAAAATACCCAACTTCCAAACACCTTTTCAAACAACTATAATTTTTCCTCTTGCCTCCCATGGTGCTCTCTCAAAAACTTCACAGGAATGAGACAATGGAAGTTGAGCACTTAGAAGAATAATTTTACTTTCTGTCCAGCACAGGTTCATGAACCACAGCTGTCAGGAGTATCTTAGGTCAGCTGCCTTCGCTTGCCATTACAGCATGGCAGAACCAGAAGCAGAACTACTCAAGCCTCACTACAGCTTCACAACTATGAAAAATAAATGTGCATTAGCACATGTGTGGAGGTGGCATTTGCCACAACCATTTTTGTTTCTTCGAACAACAGCTAAACACAGGACATCATATAAATGCTCTGTTGTTATGAGAAAGTAGCCTTGCTCAAAATGAGCTTGTCTCCCTATGTTTTAACAGCAGCTTTCTATAGTACACATTTATTTATGTGAAATACCTTATGGATGAGGTTGGCAATGTCTTCATTTTGGATAATTATCAACAGTTTATCTAAAGCAGCTCTTCTTTTAAGGAACTGTTCTGGGTGGCATTCCGTATTACCTAACTTCGTAAGATATTCCTAACACCACAGAAAGAGAAGATGGTGAAGAAAAAGTGAATAGG